ATTGACGTATGACGTACTATACTATCTCGCGTTCTCCCTCTCCTCGCAGCGCTGTGTCTCTCCGTCATACCACGGCCGACCTCACAAAGGAAATTCAGTGTTTTCTATGGTGCTTTTTGCTTTCTACTCATTCCACATTGAACTTCCTGTCTAATTTTCGAACAAAATGGCACACCAGATCGGTGCCGATCCATGCCTTTAATGCAGTTGTGGAGGAAAGAAAGATTTTCTAGCGAAGTTAAGTTAAAAGAGCATTCTATCCGTCAAACTTTTTCAGAGTAAACAAAGATCTAGTCTTGAGTGAAAGAACAAATAAGGAGTGTTACTTGAACACTCTTTACATATTTTCTAGGTGCTTGACGCAGACGAGCCAACCTCGAACAAAAATCATCTCACCCTGTCAGGAAGTGCCGCCAGTTTCTTGGGCGTGAAGGAGATTTCAGCGAATCTTTATCAGGTCCGTATCACCTCACCTAGATAATTGCGACCAAAAGCTAAGGTTTTGGTTGCAGATCGACGTCGTCGGTTTCGCCCCAACCGGTCACCATCAGTTGGAATTCACCGTTTCTGATGGAGAGTCTTCGAGCGAGTTGACAGTCGAAGTGCAAGTTCAGGTCGGATTGGAGAGCTTATGTAGCATTTCTGAGTTGCTAATAACGGTATATCTTCAGAATTCGCGATCTCACGCTCACTTCAGAAGAACCAAGTATTCGAGATCAATTACTGCCGACAAAGTGCACCAGGGTCAGCAACAATTGACTTTTCTTCAGTTTTCTCAATGATGTATAAATACTGCTGTCTAAAGGTAATCAATTGCTCCAAGTGGAACTGGAAGGTGTTCCCATTGACGAGGCTCGCTTCGTGATCCTTCAGGGAAATCCAGGATGGCTTACCATCGACGATTACGGGGGCCGCGTTGGCATCGCAAAGTTTATAAGGTATTCATCTTTTCACATCATTACATGCTCTTACAAATAATGTTTAAGGTGATAAGGACGAAGGTTCAAGCAAATTTCCGTTTTAGAATAATGAACGTCCTCTTAAGGCACACTTTACGATGGAAGGGTGGATGACAAGCTTTATAGTGTTGCGTATATTGAGCCTTAGGGCGCTGGGTCGACATAACTTCATTCACCTTGGATGGTATCAGTAGTAATGGGCAGAGGATCGGTAGTGAGGCGGAGCGAGCGGAAGATGTAAAAGCAGAACTGTTCATTGGCTAGACAGAAGGGGAAGTGACCGTGGCGCACGAGTAATGGATTACGACAGGTCCCAGTGCAGCGCAGTAGGGAGGGGAAAGCGTCATCTGGAGACGACGATTGTGATGATAGGGGCTGTTCAAAAGAGATAAGAATGGAGCCAAGGCTCATATGCTGAAACTTTGCATTAAGGCGCTGGTGATCATTCATCAAATTGTGAGTGTCTAGGCTGATATTTTTTAAAACACCAGTATATCTGCGCCTCGATTGCTGTCATGGTCTCTATTCTCCTTTTTCGCCCACTCTCTGTCATGGCACTGTATACCTCTGAGAAAATTCTAGATTTTTAGAGCTACCGGTAGAAGGTTCTTACTTTTCTTCACCAACGGTTCTTTACGCACCTGTAGATTCACTTTCGAACTAAATAGCCAGATCCTCGTGGCGAAATGTGCCTCCAAAGAGGAATGTGTGGAATGCCGGTTAAGAGCTCACGTTTTCGTGTTACGAGAAAACATGACTGACAAGAGAGTTCTGATAACCTACAGTTTCCAAAGTTAACCTGCCCTTTAATTTCTCTTTTCGAACACCGATCCAACCCTTGATATCGCTAAAATATTTGCGACGACGATTTTTGTGCAACCTATGCTTCTCCATCAGGTTCCTATCCCTTAAGAGTTCCTCAAAGTATTGAATGGATTTGCGCATTGATACATTTTATTGGAGGGCTTGGCATTCTAATGAGGTAATAGCGGCCCTTTCTAACTTTTCCGGAATGTTCAAGCGAGAAGAGGATGGCTCGAAGCTTTAAAAGCAGTTAGGCAATCATTCATCTTCTGACGAAGTGCCACCCGATAGCAGCATGGGTAAATTTGACAAAGTTTCAGTCCTGTGGAATCCGGCACGTACTTGGTAGATATTGGAGCTGTCGATCGGCAAAGCAACGCACTGCTGGCGCAGACTCAGCTGGAAATCAAGGTCGTGGGAGGAGCCGAAGCCGAGAAAAAGATGTTCTCTCAGAGCTTTTTCCGACGAACCCTGGACCGAGGTTCGTTCTGTCTGGCTGCTTTTCCTGGCGGGGCTTGCAAAGGAACTGATAATTCAGAGGAAACCACCGAGTTCTCCGTACCCTTCAAGATGAAGAAGCTAGGCGAAGTGCGCCTTGAGTCAGTGTTTGCTATCGACGAGAACGGCCAGCAGAGCAATTTCGATATGGTTCGTAGTTTTAGGCTCGCAGCGTAACTCTATGACGAAATTTGTTATTGTGCTTTTTTTCAGAGCGACATCATTTTGAAGAAGCATTCCGTCGTTTTCAAAAAGAGCTCACTCGCAGATCTTCGAGCGGTCAGCGTCGAGTTGGTGTCCGAGGGAGAAAAAGGTTTGACCCTATAACTTGGCCACAGCCCTTTTCACTGAGCTTCCCATCATCACAGTGGAAACATTTTTTCGCCACGCCTGAGCCATCTGACTGATCTCCTTTCCTGAGTCATAGTATGGGTTTCTGAATTATCCAAAGATCCATGTGAACAAATATGTGGATATGGTAAACAGCGACCAACAATAACTAACAAGTAAACGCACATGAAAAAGTAGGAAAGTTCAAGTAAAGATAGAGCAGGGCCAAATTGCTGGGTGAGTGTTTTCAAAGACAAGGTGGCACGACAGATCGAATGAAAGACGTCTACTGTTAGGAAAGTCAGGACTTTTGAGGGAACTTTTGACTTTTGGGCGAAAGCGCCTCCTAACTTTACAAGGTTTTCCCTCTTAACGCTTCCGTGTCTGTGTCTGCTTAGCACTGTTGAGACTCTTCCAGCAGGCAAAAAGCGGAATGTAGAAAAAACGAACAAAAAGTCCGAGGAAAACGTTTGGGTCTCATTCCCCGGGTTTCACAAATCGTTTTTCTGTTTTTTTTTGGCGCCTGCACCTCTTGGCTGCTAACTTTCGATAAAATTGAGCGGTCAATTTATCTAACTACGAAATGCAACTGGGTAAACGCAAATTTCAGAAAGTTTCAGAAATTTCAAACTCTTTCAAAAGTCCCAGAAAGATTTCTAAATATCACATCACTTTCTTGAAAACGACACATTCAACCTTCCAGTGCCTCCCTCTTACGTTAGATCAAATGGGATGGGAGTTCTCTCTTCATTTCCTCTCCCCTTCTCCCCGCCCTTCCCCCTTCTCAAGCATTCTCCGACAGACTCTGATCAATTGCCGAGATGAGTAGAAAAGTTGTGTGTTGAGAGAAAGGTGACGGAAGTTTCCACAGTACTAAAAAAGGACTGAGCAT